AGCACAGGATGCTCTCCACTGCACACCTGTAGAAGGAGGTGAGGACTGAGCTTCCCAGACCAGCTCGCCTCAGCCGTCTTCTTCCTCAGAAGACCAGCTAGAAAACAGCTCTGTCAAGACCCCCACACCCCCTGCTGTGGTTGCACACCTGAGCAAAACAACAGAAATGTCCCCAACAAACCCCCAAATTTGTATTGCAAAGTCGTCCTCCCAGGTGCATTAATGAAAAAAACTGCAAAATACCACCCTGAACGAGAGGTGCCCTGAGACCAGTCCCAGCCTGCAGCAAATCATGTACCAGTACACCGTCGAGCTCCACAGAACTGAACTAACCAGAATTCCCAAACACCTCCTGGCTGTCTATGTTCCAACCATCACCTCGTGGGGTTTGGATCATAATCGAAAGAAAGATCCTGGATCCAAGCAGCTGAAAAGAGCTTCCTTCACATGGTGGCTCAGCCTTAAAGATAAGGAGGGGGTCCTAACCAGAAATCAGAATATTCATATCAATAACTGATTTAAGCTAAACGTTCCATCAAGAGTCATTTATCAATAATCACTGCTTTTCTGGTATAGATCATTGCCAAGTGGCTTAATAAATGAGTGTAACTGTAAAATCCCTCATTTTTGCCCTACAACAGGTCTCTCTTGTAAACGAATTCCCATGACTCAATGAAACTATAAAACTAACCTGTATAAATAAAGGCTGAATGAAAAAACATGTTTCTAGAGCACACAGAGCTTTACAGACATCTGTTTCCACACATGCCTCTTTGTGCAAACCTCAAAGCTGCAACCAGCAAATATTTAGGCCTTTTTTTTCTTCTTGAAAATTCAATGTGAAAAGCTGACTTGTAGCTCTACGGTTCTCCAAGTATTTGGCCTCATTTCACCACATCTGAAATCCTTTCGAGATGCCATTCGTCCCTGAAGACCGCAGCTTGGGAGAGGAATTTGTACTCTTTTGCAGTTTGTTCCCTAAGAGTTCTGTTTCTGCGTTTGGATCTCATGGGTATGTTCTGTCTTCAGTCTGTCTGGTCATCTTTCAGAGTTTCTGCACAAATATAAAAAGTGTAACTTTTCCTTAAAACAGTAATTTAAGTAATTAAAAGAAAATGAAAAATGCAACAATAGCTTCAAGTGTTATAAAACTGTATACTCCAGTTTTTTTTTGTATTTATTTTTTGTACATTTGATCAAAAAAACTAATTTGTCTTAAAACATTAGTTCAGAACATTTGAAGTGGGATTCTGTGGAAAGATTTTGAACAGTCAGTATCTTATCTGCAACAGATAGTTCTTTGAACAACCTCAGTTTAGACAAACAGAGTTTATTTTTGACTGAACTGGTGAGCTAACAGGTAATTTAAGCAGAGCCCAGATCAAAGTGCATGGCTGCCATCATAAAATCCATCTGTCCGTCCATCCATCTATCTATCCGTGCATCAAGGTCGTGGGGGCAACAGCTTGAGCAGGGAGGGATGTAGGACTCATAAAACATTCATTAAACAGTTCCTCAAAATGGAGGCACAGACCAGTCCGTCTTTATCCTCCCTTTGGCCGTTCATAAATCATATGGAGCTGGCCTCATCCCGCACATAAATGAGCTGTCTGAAATTAGGTGGACAGTGTGGAACCAAAAGAGGTGTGAAGCAGAACTCAGCTGTGTAGACATGGAGCGCAATGCATGCGTGTCGAACATCTGCCTTGTGTCACATGCAAAACATAACAAATTAACTCAGTTTAGACATCCTCTTTGTGGTTAACTATCATTTTTTAACTAACTTCAAAGTTAAGTCAGGTCCTCTGGACGGTTTCTTTGTGTTGAGACGTTTCATCTTTCATCCTAAGGACTTCATCAGTCCGAGGAGCCATAACAAACTCAGACCTGATGGTCACACAAATGTCATCAGTTTATCCTATTATTGAGACACTGCATGGTATATTTCACATTTGGGCCATTCACCTTTCCGATTACCTCGCTCCATGCCACTGAGGTGCACCATGGGTTGGCTTCAAACCCTGTCCCTTCTTCGGTCCATTTTGAAGTCACACCAAGACGGCCAGAAAGTATCTTAGTCCTAACATGATGTTAAATATATTAGACCCCAAGTTAGCAGGCTGATGAATACAGAGTCAGACATACAAAAGGTAAGTGACGTATTTACATGTGGACGGAAATGTTCTGGGCTGAAAGGGAAAGCGACACAAGGTGAGTATTGGTAATTTTCCAAATTCTTGAAAAATGGATATTGTTTGTAGGCAGTCTTTCTTACTTGTGGTTGTTTTGCAGGTCGTGTTGAAGAAGAGGGAGAAAACGAGGTCCTAGGTTTCCAAAGGGAAAGAAAAAGTGATCCAGAAGGGGTGAGTATCTTTGAAGAGGAACAGGTTGAAGGCGCTCAATAGCTTTTGATCCAGTTTGATGTTTGGTGATTGAAGGAATAAGATGATGACAGAGTGAGGTCACAAGGAGTGAGGAGGTCTCAGAAGCCCCCGAGGAGCAGGACTTGAAGAACACAAGAAAATCACAAGGTTAAGTTTTTCAAGGAATATGTCTACCGGCTGTCCAGTAAGGTACCATAAGGTATCATAACGTTCCAGCGTCGGATGAATGTCTGGCAGGGGTTTAATGGATGATGAGATGATCTGCAGCTGTGGAGAAAATGCTTGTGGCTAGAAACCTAAGAATCCCACAAGTCCAAGACTGAAGTGACTTGTGAAAGAGCCAATAGTCTCTCCAGCATGTCCTGGGTCTTCCCTGGGGTCTCCTCTCAAGTTGCACATGGAACACCATCCAGAGGTGCCAAGGAGGCATCACCTCAGCTGGCTCCTCTTGATGGGGAGGACCAGCAGCTCTACTCCAAGTCTCACCTGGATAACTGAACCTCTCACCCTCTCTTTAAAGCAGAGTCCAGTTACCCTGCGGAGAAAACTCATTTTGGTCGCTTGTATCCATAATCGCATTCTTTCGGTCACTTCCCTGGAAGTGCTATAGCAAGCTGCTGCAAATAAACAGAATTTTCTCTAAACAATTGTGTAACAGAAAATCTATTTTAATGAAAAAAAAGTTTTTGTGTGAATTGCAACAAAAGTTTTGAGTTTGGACGTGTTTTAAGATATCAGCAATTCACTTTGGTCTTATCGTTGCTCAGTTTACCCATTAGCTCATCAAACCAGTCAAAAGTAAACTCTATTTCTCCAAACTGAAGTCTGTCAAAGAGTTATCGAAAACAGGTAAAATACTGATTGTTCATAAGCTTCCTACAAAACCTCACATTAAAAATTAGGAAGTATAATTTTATTGATGGCTCAGACTTCTGAATCCCACTGCATGTGGAGAATACAAAGTTCATGGCTTCAAATACATTGTACATTCTCTTTTTAGCTGAATAAATACAACGCATAACTGAAAGTTAAGAAGAGGCAAATTATGATAGATAAATAAAAATCACAACAAAACTCAAGCTCAAGAATCATCCATAAACTTTAATATTCTGGTATAAGAACTCTGACTTGTTGTTTCAAGCTGTGTTACTTGTTTGCACAGTAAAATAATCATAAATATTTGAACGC